TGGTGAAGGCCTGGACGGGGACACGGGCGACACCACAGGCCATGGGGGTGGCAGGAGTCCAGGCAGGGACAGCCCCGGGGGTGGCAGGAGGGTCACCGGGCAGGGACAGCCCCGGGCGGTGACAGAACACTGGCCTCCGTGACGACACGCCGGGTCACAATGCCGCAGGTGGGCGCGGCAGTGCCATAGCCATCTGCGGTGACACGCTGCCGTGGCCGTGGCAGTCTGTGCTGCTGGTGGTTAGGAAGACCCTCGGTGGAGTGTTGGGGCAGCAGCACCCGAGTCGCCACAGCGAGCCTGGGAGCGCTGCTCGCAAGAGAGGGAGCGGAGGCTGAGCCGGGGCCGCAGGGCCTCTCCCCATCGCCCATCTGCTGGCCCGGGCTGCCAGGAGGAGCCGGGTGGGCGCTGCCGCCGCAGCCCAGCTCCATCGCTGAGGGCCCCGGGCCGGAGGTGTTGCAGGGGCAGGGGCCGGGGACTGGCAGATACCACCTGCCGCGCACGGCAGACCCTGTCAGGAGCAGGCGTCGCCGGGCCCAGCCATGCCGTGCGTCCATTTCCAGTTCTCCTCCCAGCTGCGCCGCGATACGGTCACCTTCAGCGGCCTCCACATCTCCCTCGGCGACCTCAAGCACGAGATCATGGGCCGCCAGAAGCTGAAGGCGGCCAACTGCGATCTGCGGGTCACCAATGCCGAGACCAGAGAAGGTGCGTGGGGGTGGTGTGCACGGGGTCTCGGGCACTGCCCGGCTGGCGGCGGCTGCGGCCTGCGGGAACCACATGGTGCTCTCTGGGGCTTGTCCCCACGTGGCGTGAGTCAGCCCGGGGCCTGTCCCGCCACTGTGCGGGGAAGCGGGAGGGCGAGCGGCGCCAGCCGTTCAGTGGGGTGGGAACTTCAGACAGTGCGATTCAGCCACCGTCAGTGGCTGTGGCGTGTGTGGGGACCGCACAGAGCCGTTCTGATCTGTTTGTTAGACACGGAGCAGGGCATAGAAGACTACGTGCTCGATGTGCAACATGCAGTGCTTGCCAAAGCCCTGTAGCCACTTACTGGCAGTAAAACAAGTTTTGTGCTGGAAGGGAGTAGGAATCAACGATGGTGTTGGCTCCAGCTTTGTTGAACATTTCTGTTGGAGCTCTGCTTGCACAACTGTCAAAAGTAGCCCTGTTGAGCGTGATGTCACTGCTCAACCTGCAGATGTGGAGTCATGGCGAGGCAAAGGGAGACTGCTTCGCGGCTCCTGGTACCTGCCAAGGCTCTGCTACGGGATGCTGCTGCCTGCGGGGAACAGGTTCCTGCTGGTGGATGCTAGTTTGGTCTGAGAGCTGTTAGGCTAAGCTGGCAGCTGTTAAAGTGAGCACACAGAAATTTCCGGGGACTTCAGGAATAATGCTCCAGCTTTAGTCCTTTCCTATTTAGTCCTTTCCTATTTAAAAGTTAAAAATTTAACTTTTAGAGTCTACATTGCTTAACTTCACCAGATTTCACCATTGCACCGATTTCATCACCAAAATGAACTCAATTAACTGAGGTGAAGGAAAATCAAATGTATGAAAGCCAACAGGCGCCAGGTCCCTCCACAGAACTACCTCGGCAGTGTACTCCGCTGTTTGTCAACCCTCTTCCACAAATTCTCTGCCTCGGTGACCAAGCTAGTGGGAGGATACTTCAAGTCCCACACACAAATATGGGCCGTGATAAGTGCCCTGTGCAAATAAAGCCTTTACCTCACCAGGTTATTGTCACTCTTCAGTTTTCAGCTGATCCTTTTAAATGCATTGACTTGATTGACTTGTAAGGGGAATTCATTTTTCTATTGGTCTGTTGTTAGATGGCTGGAGGTCTCCTCCCTGTGCACTTCACAAGTGGATTGAAAACAAGCATGCATCTCTCTCTATATATATATCTCTGCATGCAAGGACGGTCAATTCAGAAGGCAGATGTCAATGGTTCTCTTCTAATGGTCAATGAATTGTCATAAAATACAAAAAGAGGACCCGTTCCCCATTTTGCCTCATACACCTGTTGTGCATGCCGCAGCTGACCTCTGCAGGCTTGCAGAACTGGCGAATAAGTGCACTGGCTGCTGTCCTCATATCCACAGGCTCCCTCGTGGAGAGGTGCTGCCACCTGCAATCTTCTGCAGACCTAGCACAACCCTCAGCGGGGCACAGGCGTAGCAAACTCCTGCCTTTTTGTGGAGCCACTGTTGCTTATCCTGTGCCTCTGAAACCTCAGTCCACTGGTTTGTGATCTGGACCAGAAAGACCACTCTGTGTGACTCCGTTCAGCAGGTGGAAACAGCTGCTTTGGGCTTCCAGAGCTGCCACTGGCATCACCGCCCCGTTGCTTGACAGCCTCAGTGCTGTTTGAGCTCCTCCGAGATCAGAAAGTCCCAGCGCAGGCCTGTCTTGACAGGTGGCTGTGTAATGGTGAGATTCCCCATTTGAGCAGAGCTCTAGGTGTTGGTTTCAGGGTATGTCTTCTGTAAAAGCTTCGGCTTCTGTCATTAGTAGTACTTTCTTGGCAACATTGGCTTTCGGGCCATCGTTCTAATTTGGCCTCCAAAGGTAAGGGCTTTTAGTAGTTAAGACTGTAGGCAGATTAAGGGTGTGGGGAGAGGCGCTCGGAAGATCTCGCGATGTACGGGAAGAATAGGGAACCAATCAAACATGCCAAAGAAGAATGTTACCAAAACACAGCCATGCTTAAGGTGGATCCCTTTCAGGAGCATACATAAAGCAGTTGCGTAGCTAATAAGTTGAACAAGTAGCAACCACCATATTGGTGTCTGTGCTTTTGTTCCCACAAAGGTTTTAACCTACTGCAAGGGTTAGCTGTGATCGGAGCGCCACGTTTCTGTGGATTGGCAGGTAGAAAAAGACAGCTAATACCTTACCACAACAACAGGGAATGGCTGCTGATGGTGCTTTAAAATATTTAGTCATATCCAGCTTGCGTAAATACAAGATATAAACCCTTCTCATGGAGACGTCTTTACATTTGAAGCTTACTCAGTCAAAGTGTCTTAGGTAGCTCCTCCTCTTCAAAAGACGAACACGGTGTAAGCCATGGCAAAGCATGGAGACCCTCAGGCACACACTGGTTTCAAAAGGCTTATCAGAAGACTTGTCTTTGTAATTGGTTTCATTTGAGTCTCTCTGCTCTGCAAAACGTCAATTGAAAGAATTCACGTCCCTTTGGCTTATTCAAACTAGATGATTAACTTAAGAGAGGAGAGACCCCTTTAGCTGGATCCAGTTTTGCCCTCCTTGTGAAAGCAAGCTCAAACCCCCCTCAGGGTTCTGTGACCCAAACTCTAGCCCTGCCAGTCCCATTTCGATGTGAATGTACAGCGCTGAGCAGCTGTCAGTGTGGCTGTCGATGGATGAACCTCCGAGAAACAGAGAGATGGTGGCTCTCTTCTGCGTTCTGTCTATCCGCAGCACTCGCAGCACGGGGGAATCGGTTTTAGGGAACAGCTCGGAAAGCAACGGGGCAGAGTTTTCATGCTTTAGCCGAGTGCCTGCTTTGTTGCAGGGCAAGCTGCTCAGAGTTTAGAATCTGGTTTATGCAGGTGAGACTTTGCTGTGGTTTGTTTCTCTCCAAAGATCTCTTGCGTTTGTAGCCTAGCAGCAGCAAAAGCAACTTAATCCAGGTCAGGAAAGAACCTCATGCATGAGCACACTCTCCTTTAGTGACCTCTGAGACCGTTTTGCTGCTGGCATCCAAACTGTTTGAAAAGAATGGAAAAGGTGTTTGATTCTCAAGCCTGAAGACTTCTGGAAAGGTGCTGCTACTGCGTTGAGATGACAGGAGTGTGATGTTACATATAAAATTTTGCTTCCATGTCTGTGAAGGGATTCTCTCAAGTGCTATGTAATTACGTATTAATATTCTTACAAACTGACTCATGTTTTCTTCTGTATTGGTGTTATTTTCAGAATACACAGATGACAGTGCTCTGATTCCTAAGAACTCCTCGGTAATTGTTAGGAGAGTCCCTGCTAGAGGAGTTAAAACTACCAGCAAAACGCAAGCTCTGTAAGTACCCGTAAAGCATTGTAGTCTTTGTGAGGGGTTGCAGTCTCTTAGCCTTTTCTATGGAGATTAGTTTAGAGAGGCATTCGGCTTGTATCTGTCTTCTTTCTGTTGCTTTTATAGTAAAGACAGATACGCAAGTTCCCATCTCAGAAGAGTCTGTTTGTCAGTGTTTGACAGTGTCTTGCATTTGGGGGAGGTGGGGTGGGATATGGCAGGTATACTTATGCCTCGAGTCTGGCTTTTTTGCATACTGGCTCTAGGGGAAAGGGCAAGGGTCGCTATTTAAGAGCACAAAGCTGTAGCACAGACTTCATCGTTTCGATACTTACACAGCAGAGACAAAATGTCTGAGGACTTTCGCTGGCACTATTGTGTTCTAGAGCTGTAAGTCTTACAGTAATTGCTGACAAACTAGAAACGGGATTTGGGATTTGGTTTATGTGTACAAAGACATTTCCACATTTACTAGACTATCAGAACATAATGTCTTGATGTTTAGGTTTTATAATCTGTTTTCACTGCTTTTGGCTGGGTACAGGTGCTTTCTTCTAAGTTCTCATTGCCTTTATTTCTTCTTCTAGAACTCGAACTGAGCCAGCGAGTGGAACATCAAAAGCAGTATGTAAAAACACAATCTCACAATTTTTTTCTACACATTGCACTTAATTCTAAACAATGTGGCCTCGTATTAATCTCCCAAAGATGAAGTTAATCTGTTCTGCAGTGAGACATAGTGTATGTTGTAGAGACCATGTATTTGATTGACAGCACAGTGAAAACTGAGTAATGCCATCATTTGCACAGTTCTAATGTGAATATTGGTATTTGTGCCTAGTGAGGCATTGTGTTTCATATTGAATATGCTGGAATATTTCCTGAATGACTTTGTGTTGTACAAGTAATTTAGGATCGTTTCTAGATCATGTAGGTTCAAGGTTTGCACAATTCAATTGGTGCTGTGTTCTACATCTGTCTCTCTAGAGCTAGTATGTTTGTATAGGCTGTTGTATGCTCTTTGTTTCTTGCAATTAAAATTGTTTGGAGTGTACTTTTTGCCATTTTTGCATTGTATCACTTAGCTTTTGGTTTTAAGTACTTTCTTTGCCTAACAGTTTTGGAAGATGTTATCAAAACATGCTGAGAAACCGTTGTTGTGCCACTTGGTACTTTTTCTTGCTTTTGACTTGGTGGTTCCAACAAATCCCCAAATCAACACATCCCATAGGTTTTGAGGACAGTTCTGTGAAGCCAGAAGATTCCTTCCCATGTCCTGAAATACTTGAGTATTTGTTCCTAAAGCTGTATGACAAGTGATGTTGTTTGGCCCCCTCTGAGTACATAAAGGTCTCTATCAGATTGCCACAAATCTAAATGTTGTTGGTACCCAAAGTGGTATTCCAAAGCTCTGCATTTGGTGTTTCCACTTTATCTGATGAAACAGTTTAGCTTCATAATTTGTCTGCAAATGCAAATATCTAAACCCCGGCACACTGAGTTTAGCTACTTCTCATGAACCACGTAGGCCCTCTGGAGCTGTCATAGCTTTGGACTTTGTTTTGAACTAATACAATTACATTAGGTTGGAAATGTCTCTTTCCATGACACTTGGAGGATATAGTGCAGACTTTCAGACTACAGTAGAGGTTACCTTTTGTTGTGTTTTGATTGTACAACTTGAATGTGTGTTTAATTTTTTGCGAACAGATTGAGGACTCTTCTGCACCCATTCCTCTGGCCCAGCTCATTAAGGTATGTGTGTATTCTTGTCAAAGACTTAAAAAACCCCACCACCGACAACAGAAAAACCCACTTGCTTCATATTTTTAAATCTTGTACGGTGATGTGTAAGTAGATAACTGTTATAATGTGAACAAAAGTGAATTTGTAATCATTTACAGTATTGGTTTTAAGCTTAAGATGTGTGTATATTTCCATAGTATCCCATACAGAGTAGTTCCCAGTTTGGGAAGATAGGAGTCCCTCAACGTAATGTTGCACTATTGCTCATCTTCAAGACACAAAGCAGCAGCACTTCAGGAGCTGTTTACTGTTTCTCAGACCTTTCGTTGATTTTGTGTTGGAGACTGACACAATTTTCGCAGAAGTATTTAATTGGCTGAAAGTCATGGATATTTCAGGGGGAGCCTGCAACAGCCAAAATAGAAGCGTTTCTGTAACATGGACAATTGCATGGCTACTGTTGGTTTCTAGTCACTGCAGTTATAGATCCACTCTCCGAAAGCCGCACAGTTTCATAACTTGTAGTCTACGGAGAGTGGACAACACAACCTCATCTGTTTGAACAGAGACTGTGAAAATTGTGTAAATGTACCTAATTGTTTGCGGGAATCTACCAGTGTGTGAGTGTGGCATATTGGCAGAGGTGACGTTCTGAAGCAGTTGTAATGCCATGTTTTGCTATGGAACTGCTTGTGTTTTTTCCTCAACGATGTGTAACTTTGTCTGGGAAAGCACTAGTGGCTGCACTTTGTGAAAAGGCGTAGTGCGAGCCAATTAAATTACTAGTCTTAAAGAATAGAGGAGGCGGGGCCTGATGCAGAGGAGCTAGTTCTTTTTTTTCTGAAAATAAAGGCTGGTGTTCCTTTCCAAGAAAGTGAAATCTCTTCCCACTCTCTTCTTCCCTCTCCCACTGCAGAATTAAATAGTGTACATTTGGGGAAAAAACCCCAACGGTTACTGTGGAAGGTAGTCACCAGAAGAAATTGGTCTCCATTAGTGCTGTCCCTAAACACGTCCTTGGTTCTGTAAACTCATGTGCAGTTTGACTCTAAAATGTGAGAAACTGGCCAAGTGCTGGACATGTTTAAGCTTTTGAGAAAATGTACGTATTTCAGAGAAAGGCAGGAATGTAGTGTAAAGCAGCTCCAAACTGTAGTACTCCAACCTCCTTAGTGCAGACGGGCTTGGCATGGAGGCAGCGTGTTGAAATGTTTTCTGCTTTATTATTACCTTGTACAAAGTTCCGTATTTGAATTATGGTCTGTGCCTAGTGATGCTTTGTGGGGTTTGGATGTGTCTTGTAAACTGTCTGGGGTTAAACAAATTAATCAAGTATCTGCACAGTTTTCTGTAAATGTTAATGGAAGGGATTTCATAGATGTCGATCAGGATTGTGTTGCTGTTGTGTCTATGAAACAACCATTTAATGAACTGTTGAAACTAGTGGGCTGCTTTTGCGAATGAATGCATATAAAATCAAAGCCATGGAGGGTTGTTCTGAATGATGGGTGCTTGGAGGTCCGTATCCTTTACATCCCTCCCTCAGAGCCTGCTGGTATCTGGACTAGTGTGTAATGAGAGCATTGGAACAAATGCTACTTACAAAAAATCAGCTGGCTTCGATAATTTGAAGATCTAGTTCTGCGTAAGGTTCTGACAATTTGTGTGTTAGAAGGACACAGCCAAAAGGAAAAAACCTGCAGGTTGTGCTGACCATAGTTAAATCACTGAACATGAAGAAGTAAGTAGGCAGGGGACATGCCGTTTGGGCTGCCTACAGCGCAGGGTGGGCCATATTCTACTGAAGAGAATATTTTGTCTTGCTGAGGAGTTATCAAAAGTTCGATTCCTCTTAATGCTTCTGTGTCTGAAGCTGAATTTCAGAGAGCAAAAGCAACTTCCCCAACTCTTAAGTTGTATGTCTTTTTAAGGCTGCAAAATAGAAACACTGATACTTGCATACATCTGTCTCAATTGAATGTACAGTGGAGATTTTCTCCTTCCAATACTCTGGAGCTCAACAATCCATTTAAAAATAGTCGATAATGTAATTCTTTCTACACATAGCTTCAGTCCACTTGGAAGACATTTGGATAGGTTACACGAGTCTTTCTGTAAGGTGCAAACAGAGCCTCAGGATTTGAGTGCCCAAAAATGCTCCTTCCAAGCAGGTTCACAGGCCCAGAGACACCATGTGATGGCGTAAGGGCACCCCAGAACATCTCTGGGACAGCTCTGGCTCACACAAGCAGTTGCTTTTTGTGCAAGCTCAGCTACTGCCGGGCTGCTTTTTACAGGGTTGGGTGAGTCTTTGGCGGGGGAGCTTAAATGTGTTTCTAATGTGCACGTCCAATAATTACCTGTTAAACAGACCAGCAGTCTGGCTGAAGCCAACGCTTCCGAAGAAGATAAAATAAGAGCCATGATGATCCAGTCTTGCCATCAGTATGATCCAATCAAGTAAGTGTTGTCAAAGTCCTGTCTGTTCTTTGAACACAGTGGAAACATTGTAGAGATGGTTGTGGGAACAAGAGAGATGTATGCATACCATTTTCTTTTTTTCCCCAAACCCTTTTAGTTACGTGAAGAAACCCTTGGCTACACCTCCACCATCCTATATTTGCTTTCGCTGCGGAAAACCTGGCCACTATATAAAGAACTGTCCAACAAATGGGGTAAGATTGTAGGGGGCTTCTGGTGACACTTGGTTTTTAATTGCTTTACTTTGGCAGTTATGCAGCAATTACTTGAATAACCCTCTGAGGAATTGTTTCTCTTGCTCTGAAATACAGAGTTTGTATAGCAGTGGTGCAAAGCCCTTCAAAATTCCAGGGAAAGCTGGAGATTTCAATGGGAAATTTTCTTTCTTTGAGGTCATAGACATTACAGATGACCATAGATCTTTCTCTGTAAACTTTAATGCATATTTTTATATATTTCGTTGTTACTGCAAGTTTCTTTCATCTTAACTCTTTTTAATGACAGTTTGCAGTTTTTAGAATTTTGTAGAAAAAAAAAAGACATTTCTCTCGACTCCAACTATTGAATATTTGCATGTTATAATTACACAAGTCACTGGTTAAGTATTCATGCCATTTAACGTTACTCACTGAGCGCAAGGGCGTCAGCTCTGAATTCAGCCTTCGTGTGTAGATGGTGAAGATCCAGAGCCCTGCATTAAGCTCTCCCTCTGAACTGCCCTTTGGAGGAGGAGAGGGTTTGTGCCTCTCCTCTGAGGGGGTGGTGAGCTGAGGGATATTTCACCCTTCAGGAACCTGAAGTTAAGCCAAAGAACGTTGACTGAGTTCAGAACACTGCTCAAGCCTTTGGAGTATGCTGGCTATATTAATTTGGGAAAAAGAGTATTTTGGTCAAGCAGCCCTTAGGCTAGGTAAAAGGAGAGGATTAAAAGTTTTTGCTGCCTAAAATAGGGGTTGAAATGTCATTTTAGGTGTGGATCTTGAGATATGTCTGCATTTCTTTCCTTAACAGGACAGTAATTTTCAGTCTGTTCGCAGACTGAAAAAGAGCACAGGAATTCCCAGGAGTTTCATGGTGGAGGTGGAAGATCCCAATACGAAGGGTGCAATGCTGACACCGACTGGAAGATATGCCATACCAATTATTAATGCGTGAGTATGGAATGAGCTGGTCTGACCAAAAAGTGAAAGAGAGAAGCCAAGTGTCAATGTATGAGTGACAGTGCCACCAAGCTGGCCATCATCTGTAATTATGGGGGAAGAAGCACTGTCGTTGTATCTTAGCCTTAAAATCTGTGATGATTTCTAATATTAAAAAGGGGCAGTCCTGCTGTTCATGCCCCTGAACGCTGGTTAAGCTTGTGGTATGCTAAGAATCCCTATTTCTGCAAAACATCTCAGTCATGTTTACAGTGGCATCATTCTTTTTGAAAGCTCCTTTTGCTTCTCTTTCATCTTGGTAAGGCTTCTTGCAGAATTTAACAAATAGCTGCTGGACTGAGATCCCCTCCCCCTCTGCCGTTTGTCCAATCCCATGTGTGAAGCAGAGGGATGTTATCCTGTTGCTGTAAACTAAGAAAATACTAGTGTGTGCTGACAAGAGTGGCTGTTTGAAAATGCCCTTGGGAGCACCTCTGTTTTTCTGTCATGCATCTCCTTTTGCAGAAGCTGTAACATAGATTTCTTCTATTTATAGAACATAATTAGGGGGAGACTGACTTTATCCTGATCCTGCGATTTACATTCACGCTCTGGCAAAGGAGAGGTGGGATGCATTTCACCTGGTCTCTAGATGTCAGAAAATGATTTCTCTAGTCTGAGCTAATTTCTTAGTTGATCCAATGAAGGGAAGAGTTCTGCAGAAGGAAAATTGTTCCCCCCTCCCTTTTCTAGTGCCCTGGCTATAGAAAAGTAGTTTAAACTAAATGCCTGCAGTTCTGAAGGGTAATTTGGAGTGAGAATGCCACCTACTGTCTTCGTTGGATAAAATCCAAAGCTCGGGAAAGTTCTCCTTTACCCATCTTTAACTTTTTCTCTTTTTCCTTAACCATCCCCCCTGCAGGGAAGCTTATGCCAGAGGAAAGAAGGAGAAGCATCCCTTTTTACCCGAGGAGCCGTCCTCTTCCTCCCTCTCCTCCGCCCCAGACTATCCAATTCCGGAAGAGCTCTTATGTTTCATTTGCAAAGAGATCATGGCCGATGCAGTGATTATTCCCTGCTGTGGAAACAGTTTCTGTGATGAATGTAAGTGTTACTCCCATGTTTGTTAATTCAAAGCATCACACCTGTTTTTTTGGAAGCAGAAAGATTTTAACATTCCTTTGTTACCAGCTCTGTTTACTACTTAAGTATACCCCGAATAAGAAAGTACTCTTCTTGTGGAAAGGAAAAAACAAAGGCAGAAGGCGTTTTTCCCTTTTTATGCATCTACTGAAACCCTCTTTACATGCGGAAGGATGATTACGAGAAGAGTGCGTAATGGTGCAGCTGATTACAGTATTAGTCATCAAATGCATGTAGTTTGTGCACAGTCCTTTCTCTCATACAAAACTATAGAGCCAGGGCTGGTGACTTACTGTGGTCAGCAGCAAATGTCTTGTTAGGCATTTAATCCACATTCTTCTTCACGGGAGAGCTGGTTAAAACCATCAGAGCTGGAACCTACTGATGGTTTTTGGAGATGTGTCTTATTCATTAACCTTGAGGTTGGTGACTTCTCACTGTGCTGGACAGTGGAGAACAGACTAGTCAAAACATCAAGACATGGCCTACTCTACATCTTCAAATGTTACAGTAGTGAAATATCAAAATTGGGCAGCTATTTCCTTCCTACTAGAAATTCTTTACACTGCTGAACATTTCATGCTCTCAGTTCTCCACTTCATGCTCTCAAATCAGGACCCTATCCACCCATTAACAATCTACAGGCTTTTATAACTGATTAGAACCTCCAAAATTTCCTTAGTTTAGCTAAAACCTGTTTTGATGATTCTGATTATACCCAGGTATTAGAACAACATTACTGGACTCTGAGGAACATACATGCCCAGCGTGTCATCAGGAAGATGTTTCTCCTGATACTTTGGTTGCCAACAAATTCCTACGCCAGGTAATGCAGTGACTTTTAGATAAACTGTAAGAAAAGTCTAGTCAGTCAATTAGCTGAAAGGGAAGAAAATATTAATTTACATCTCCTTAAACAAGGCTAAATGGATAAGGCTAAATTTACTTTGAAAATATATTACCTGCTGTTACAGAAGCTGATAAGTCTTGAGAGACAATCTGACAAATTCACCTCACACCTGTGTTTAACAGGATTGACTCAGTTTCAAATTGAGTGTTAACACTGGAGAGCTGTACATACAGATAGTCTGAGTTACCAATCCTTAACACCAGTGTGTAATGGGATGTGTTCATATATGACAGAAGGGTTTGGCTTGGAAGAGACCTTAAAGCCCATCCAGTCCCACCCTCCTGCCCTGGGCAGGGACACCTTCCACTAGCCCGAGTTGCCCAAAGCCTCGTCCAACCCAGCCTTGAACCCTTCCAGGGAGGGGGCAGCCACAGCTTCTCTGGGCAACCTGTGCCAGGGCCTCCCCACCCTCACAGGGAAGAATTTCTTCCTTAGATCTCATCTGAATATATCTGTATGTTGGTTTATTTTAGGATGGATACTATATATGGGAATATACCAGTAATTTTACTCTGTGGAGAATTTTGTTTATCGAGCTACTGAAGGTTCATGTTACCTCTTTGTAAATGTTTTTCTGCCTCTAGGCTGTGAACAACTGCAAAAACGGCACTGGTTACGCACAGATTATCCAGAGGCAGCTGCAGCAGCCACCAGCACCTCCACCAGCACCCGTGGCTCTGACCCGTCCTGCTGCGCTGGTGGCTGCCACAGAACGTCCTCAATCTTCCCCACTATCAGTCGGCGGTTTGTGGGAAGAGAAGGTAGGTTTTCTCTCATCATATACAGTGATTCTTATGTTATAGTGGAGCTTATTTTCCAACTGTTTGCACCCATTCACAAGGGCTATCAGGTTCCTGGAGTGAGACAGAGAGCATTACCAAGTCTTCTGGGTCACCAAGGACCATCAACACCCACAACTGGTAAGTAACAGTAACTTACAAATTTCTATTAAAAAATTATCTTCAGGGAAACTGAAAGGGATTTTTTTTTTTGTCTTCCCATGCCTAAAGGTCATCCAGTGAGAGCTGGCAAAATTCGTTCGGCAAGCGGCAGACCAGACTGGGAAGTGTAAGTATGCTACAGAAATTCAATATACTGCTGTTTGTAACCTGTTAAACGAGGCTGTAACACATAACAGACACAACAGCTGATTTATAGGGGAATAAGTATGCACAGATCGTTGTGGAGAATACATGTGGTAATTAATTATTAAATGGCTTTATTTGAATTGGCCTTCACAAAGGGGATCCGTGCTTTCAGGAAGAGTATTTAAAATAAAACTCCAGTACATGATCGAAAAGAGGACTCTGAAGAATGAAGTCTTTCTGAGGAAATCATAATCACATGTAAAAATGAATCCCAATTAAAGGATCAGATGGAAAGGCACCCTCTTGCTTACTGGCTGAATGGGGCTGAAGAAATTGATTTCCCAGTAGAAATCATCCTCCAATATTCATTTTTTTAACAACTTTGCTAATACTGGTTGAGCAAACCATTGGAAAAAGCAAGGCTGTTATTTGACTATTTAGTCATCTCAAATAGCCAAGCTGCTTTCTCTTGGTTAGAGAGAGAGGAGACTCTTTTGGTTTATTGCAGCATGGTTGGTCCTTCCTTTTGGTATCTATTTGTTATAGAGAGATTGTAAGGGTGCACTCTGTGTGTGTATAAAATCTTAAAGATAAGTCAAAACAAAACCAGGGTCCATCCCACAGATTGTCTAAAACCTCAAGTTCAGTAAGGAAAAAATCACAATTCAGGAACAAGAACGGGCCAACGACATCATCGTGAGGCAACAACCTAGGAAGCGTGTATGGAAGATGTTAAAAGAATTTTGAGAGGAGATGAGATAACGTCTGTGCAGTACTTTGAAGATCAGCAGTGTGAAGTATTGAGCGTGTCAAGGTGTGTCAGAGGAGCGCTTGGCACGTGTCTCTTTTAGCACGGGCAGCCTCCAGGCAGAGTTGCCAAACTGACTATAAGAAGGGGAGACTGAGGGATTTGTTGGGGGTGAGGATGTGGAAGGCAAGTATGAGGACCAAGAAATGAGCATAGTCTCAAATGAACAAAAAGCGGGGAGAAAAATGCTGGAGCTGAGATCAAGAAGTGCTCGCCACCGCGGTCCTCCTCCATTCGCCTTCCTCTTTAAAATCAGGGCAGAGTGTAACAAACTGTGACTCGTGTTCTGGGGTTTCTTTAGAAGCTCAAATCGAGGACACCCGCGCAGTCAGCGTATCCAGAGGACTCAGGGCCCAGCACTACCAGCACCAACACCGCTCTCTGTGCCTGTGCCTCCACTCCCTTGTATCCTCCACCACCCCCAGCACGTCCTCTTCCCCTGGGGGTACCACCAAAACCGTTTCCTCCTCAGTTTCCACCTGGGCAGCTCCGTCTGCTGGGTGCACTCTCCCTCCTCCAGGATATCCCCCAGCTCCTGCAGACACGTCACCAGCTTGAGGACCAGCAGCAGTTCCAATGGCTCATTCCATCCCAATGAGACAAGCACCTCCTTTGGAGAATCGTAGAATCACCGAGTTTGGAAAAAACCCTTTAAGATCATCAAGTCCAACCATGAACCCAACACTGCCAAGTCCACCACTAAACCATGTCCCTCAGCGCCTCATCTACCTGTGGGTGGTGACTCAACCACCTCCCTGAGCAGCCTGTTCCAACGCTTGACAACCTTTCCAGTGGAGAAGAAATGTTGCCCAGTAGCTGATCTAAACCTCCCCTTGTGCAACTGGAGGCCGCTGCTTCTCCTATCGCTTGTTACTTGGGAAAAGACACCAACACCCACCTTGCCACAACCTCCTTTTGGCTAGTTATAGAGGGCGATGAGATGAGGCCTCCCCGCAGCCTCCTTCTCTCCAGGCTAAACACGCCCAGTTCCCTCAGCCGCTCCTCACAGGACTTGTTCTCTAGACCCTTCACCACCTTCCTTGCTCTTCTCCTGATACGCTCCAGCCCCTCAGGGTCTGTCTGGTAGCGAGGGGCCCAAAACTGAACACGGTATTCGAGGAGCGGCCACACCAGAGCCAAGGACAGGGGGGCCGTTGCTCCCCTGGTCCTGCTGCCATTTCTGACACAAGCAGGATGCCTTTGGCCTCCCTTATCTAGGGAGGAGTTTGACAGAGAACAACGAGACTTAAAGAAGAGTGGGGGTTTGGCTCAATGAATTTGGTCTGGCTTTCACGTTTTTGTTTCGATGGCCTGTCGGACAGCAGTTACACTCGAGTGCATCTGACATCAGCAGAAATGACAGAGTGTTTTCTCCAATAGACTTTCTGGGTGCAGATGGTAAACATGCAAAACTAAAAGAAGACAAATGTCATCCTAACTCTTTCCCTAGGACTTGTAAGAAGAATTCTACACTGGTTTTGCTTCAATAGCATGTCCACCTTTGCATCTGCAAGCAGTATGCATTTTCTCATACTGGCCATGTTTTGTTTCTTGGTGTCTTTTTGTAATAAAGCTCAAGCTGTAATTGTCATAATGGTCAAACTTATTTTAACAGGGAAAAGAAAAAATCCAGACTAGATGAGTTCACAGATGGTTCAGGAAGGGATGGAATATAAGAAGACTCCAAAGGAGCGTTCATTGTCCAGGTAATTGCTTTACATGTCCGTAACGGAGGAGCAGGCTGGGCAGAGGAATCAGGAGGATCTCCACTGCCCCTCTCCAGGTGGATGGGCTGATTCCAGGGATTAGCAGGGAGAGGAGTTCTGTGTGCAGGTTACTAGCTCAGCTAGGGCAGAGGTTACAGTTGACTGAGTTACAGTTTGGCAGCAGTGGCTGTGGAGCAGGTGTCTCTTTCACTAAAGGACCTCTGGTCTAGAAGTGTTGGTTAAAGGGTCCTGTATGTAAGATTGCAGTACCAGTATTCGGCATCCTGCACAAATGTGCGAATAAGTAGTGACATGGTGGCACATGTGGTAGAAGCCCGTGGAAACAGAGGTTCCCTTCCTCTGTGTTTTTGCAGTAACAAAGCAGTGGCTGTTCTGTCTTTTCAGCAGAAACTTTGCCATAGTGGCAAGTTCTTCAGTTTGCAGTAGTAGTATGTCAGCAGCTGAAAGAAGCTTTGACATAAGCATATGGAGAGTCAAAAACCAAAACAAAGTGGGAGGAAATAAATGGGGAGAGTGACTGCTTAGAATTAACTTTATTTTTTGTGTGTTGTGTTTTCTTTTAGGGCTCAAGTCTCCATCTAGACGTTCATCCACCTAGTTGAAGGAAGATCACGTTCTTCCTGCCCCTTCTCCTGACTTTTTTCGTGCTGTTGCATTCTAACTTAATTGAGCTTATAATGACTTTAGTTTTAGTCATACAATTGAGTAATATGTTTATTGAATGTAAAAAATAAGGCATGATTTCAAACAATAAACAACATAGGATAGAGAGAAACCTGGCTTGGTGTGTCTTTAATTAGGTGTGTTGTATATTACAAGCCGTGTCAGGTCACTGGAAATGAACTTGGTTGGTCGATAGAGCAGACAGCTCACTTCTGTGTTTTCTGTCTTGCATTGTGTGAATCAGAAGGCTCAAGAAATTAAAGAGAAGAAAAACTCAGGAAAGGTAAAAAGAGGCAATGGTTATTAAAGACATACACCTAAGGAAATATGCCACAGGTTAGTTGCAGGAGTGTTTGGTGGAAGAGCAGCAGGTTGCTGACAAACTCGGGGTGCAGCGAGTAGATTCCCTCTCCATGGTTTAAGGTTTCTCAGTCCTTGAAATGAGACCTGAGAGGACTCTGTGGGTTTTCTCCTCCTCCAGCTCCAAAGCGAGCTCTTTATCACCCAACGTGGGCTCTTCATCCCTTCATCATAATGTCGCTGCCACACAGCTTTGAAGAAGGAAGGATTGGGGGGGAACAGTGGATGAGGGCACTTTTTTTTTGGTGTGGGGGTTGGCGAGCTGAGGGTTGGTGCTGAAGAGAAGAGCTGCTTTTCTCTAGCAGTCTTGCCCCCTTGGAACCATCAACACCCTCAGAACCCCCCAAAATCTGTGGGGATGCCCAGAAACTCCTTGAGGCCCCCCCAAAATAGTGGAGAACACCTCAAGTTCCTCCTAGGATACCACTCAACTCCTTGGGACCCTTAAGCCCCTCTGGGACCAAAAAAACCTCCCCAGCAACCCCGCAACACTGGGAGGACCCCACCATAAACACCCCAAGACACTCAGTTCCCCATTTGGAACCCCCCCACCCCCACTGTACCCTGCAGGGGTCTGGGGAAGGTCCCAGTGATGTCACCCCTTTTCCTGCACCCCCAGTTCCCCCACTGGGACACCCAAACCCCTCCTACACATCCCTACTGTCCCCTGCAGGAGCTTGGGCGGTCTCAGCACTGTTATCCACCCCCAGCCCCCCTGTTGCCCCACACACTGTGTCCCTCCTGTCCCCACCACTGCCTGCAGGTTTTTTAGGGGGGGGGGTCCCACCAGTGCCACACCCTTGTCACTGCACCCCCAAACTCTTGAGGACACCTGGGAAGGGGGGGAGCATCCCAGTGCCCCTACGAGCACTCCCCTCAAGTTTCGGGAGCCTGTTGGCACCCATGTCCTCTCCCCCACCCCCAGGAAGGGGACCACACTGGGCTGACAAGGAAAGCCACCAACGGCCTCCACTGGTACATCAACGGCATTGTCCAGGATAGGGGACACACCCTGGGGGTCCATGGTGACACTCCCCACACACCCCTCAGGGTCTCCTGGAAGTCCCCAAATTGTCACCCTGGGCATGGGAGGGGACAACAAGGTGGCTCTTGGGGACATCCCCATCCATGAGCTGTCCCCCATGTTGATGCCCCATGACCTTGAGGGACAGCAAGGTGGCTCTTAGTGATGCCCCCGTCCTCGGGGTGTCCCACACATTGACACCCCATGACTTTGAAGGGACACAGGAGACACCAAGCTGGCTCTTGGGGACATCCCCATCCCTGGGGTGCACCCCACATTGGTGCCCCACAACTGGGAGGGGAGCAGGGTGGCCGCAGGGGGTCTGTGGTGACGTCTCCATCCCTGGAGTGTCCCCAACACTGACACCTGTCACCTTACAGGGAAATTTGGCAGAAAATAAACCCCCTTGCGTCTCAGTTTATCCTCAGGTGTCAGAGGGGCTGGGGGCGGCTACGTTTAGATTCTGAGTGATTCCAACTTGCCACTGTCCTTGTCACCTGCTCCATCCAACCTACACCCTCCCACGTGACTCTGGGCCTGTTTCCCTCCTAAAGCACATCGACTCAGCCCTGACACCCACTGGAAAAGGGTGTTGGGACAAGGGACGCTCCCAAACTTCCCTCTGAGGATTCATGCTAAAGAATTTCACCAGACTGTGGGTATCTCTAGGCTTCCTTTATGAACAACTCAGAGTTGGGCCATCACCTCAGGGAGTGGCCACAGATGACAAAAAGCGACTTATATTTATATGATTCTTCATAACATGCAATGCAATGCCAATGCATCCTCAGTTTCAAAAGTACATAATATTCCAGAGTTCCAATTAGTTCTTCTTGTCTCCCTCTGGTTCCTCTTCTGACATCGCTGCTCACTGATGCAGTCTTCGGCCGTCGTGGTTACTGTTTCAGTTCTGATAAACACAGAGCAAATTAGACGTCAATCAGCAAAAGCTTTGTTCATCTGTGAGATGATTCCAGAGTGACAGTACCTTGGCCATGAGACCCTGTTGGCACAAAGGAACTCATGCTGGCTCTCAAACCCCTGACAGAGGAACAGGCACACTGCACACCTGGCAAACCTGACTCCAGCCTTCTGTCCCCCTTTCACTTCCGAGTGGCACTGATGTGCGAAGTGAGATGGGCTCATCTGAGTTCATTCCTCCTGATTATTTTGTATCACCTCGGGGTCACAAGCACAAAAGCTGACAACAAAAACCTGTAGCCATTTACCTAAGTCTAGGCATGATCCCAAGTGGAGAAAGAATCCAGTCTTTTCATATTAACCCTGCCAGTTCAGAATTGATGAAAGTGAGCCAAAGGCCCTTCCAAGGCAAGTTCATAGCTTCGGGAGAGTTACGGCAAGGACAGATGTCCTTTCGTCTGACATCATAGGCAGCGTGCGATTTAATCAAGGGGTGGCAGTTCTGAGTGATGGTTTGACGGTCAAAGGACCAATCTGACAGCACAATAGAAAAACCCTGCCAAAAGGCGTTTGTTGTTCATTATTTCTCTCATAAGCTTGGCCATTTCACTGCTCTGAGTCACCAAGGATGGGAACAAGTGGAAGGACCAAGGTGAGGGTGGGCAAAACCTGAATGTGCATTCAAAGTCTACATCTGTAATGCACGGCCTGAGGTTCATAAAACCTGGATTAACGTGGGCTGGGCCAGGCTGGGATCTGTTTGGTATTTTGTACGACCCGATCCTTTGTCTTGTGAGCAGTGCTGGTCAGACACACTCCCTTTTACCACCATAAACTACATCTGCTATGGTGAACCTCTGCTGTGATCCTTTGGATCCCAGCAAGGCTTTGATAGGTTCTGCAGCACGTGAGAAGAGCAGAGTGAGGACGTGAGGTAACCAAGTGAGCAGGGCTCCAAGGTATCACCACTGCATTTGCAACAGAAAGTGTGTATTTCATCATTCAAAATACTACACTTTTCATATTCCCACCTGTTGGAGAACGGCTTGCAGAGAGCAAGGCCATGGGTCTCTGCAGGAGCTGATTACAGCCATCTGAGATAAACAAAGGAAAAAACCCAGGGTACAGTTATGCTAACAACGGACTGTTATGTTAACAAAGAGAGAAACTGAGGTACATTATGACCTTGGGGGTGATAGAAAA